AGAAGAATCTTACAGGTAAATAGTTACAGCAGCAGTACTCACAAAAGTTGAAAGGTGGGTATGAAATGTTTATGAACTCATGAATGGAGTCTTTTAAACTGTGCTATACTCCACAGTAGAATATTTATTACTCAACCATAGAAGGGAATGAGACATGCATACTGGGTAAATATCAAAAACTTGCTAAGAGAAACAAGTTGGGCATAAGAGCTAGGGATAGGACTTGTGAGGACCTGAATTTGGTTCTCCAGAACCCAGGTAAAGCCAGTTGCTGTAGCATGCATCTGTAATCTCAGTATTCCTACAGCAGGTTGGGAAATGGAGACAGGAGAACTTCAGGTGAAATGCAAGATCAAAGGCAAAGACTGAACCCTTAGGTTGTTCTCTGACTTCTGTATGTGTGACATACACACCCACATTCACATAAAACGACATGCTCATACACACACAGTTTGGGGGGCTCATGCAAAGATTTAAAAGAAAAAAGTCCGACATAAGAGGCTTAGGGTTAGTATTATGATTAGAGACTGAGCAAAACCATCCAGACAAATAAATAAGGACCACTAGGTGTTAAGAGGCGGGGAGAATGGAGAGTGAGCACTTACTGAGTAAGTACAGAGTTTCCTTTCAAGGTGATGAAAACATTTTGGAATTAGATACTAGCTTCAAATACAGTAAAGTTACTTAGTGACAAAGGTGTATGTATACTTTAGCCAGGTGGTGGCGCATGGCTTTAATCTCAGCACTTGGGAGGCAGAGGAAAGCTGATGTGAGTTTCAGTACAGCCTGGTCTACAGAGCTAGTTCCAGGACAGGACAGGTAAGGCACAGAGAAACCCTGTCTTGAAAAACCAAAGAAATAAAAAAGTATACTTTAAAAATGGTTTAAAGCCAGGCCTGAAATCTCAGCAACCTGGGTGAGGTAGGATCATAAATTCAAGGTCTGCCCAGGCTACAAAGTGAGTTCAAGGACACCCTGGGCAACTTAGTGAGACCCTCTCTCAAATAGCTAAGAGGGCTGAGAATGTTGATCAGTAGCAGAATGCTTTCTGGGTATGCACAGGGCTGATAGTTCAGTCCTAAGAACCACAAAAAATAAAATGAAATTATTAAAAGGTAAATTTGTTACTGAGTTTTAATCACAATTTAAAAGTATTCATGCTAAAAGACAGCAAAGATATGTTTCATTTCTACTAAGACTTTAAAGGAGCCTGAGTGGGGATATAGTTTCCTAAGAGAGTGTTAAAGTAGCAGGCAGGAGACCCTGGGTTCAATTCCAAGCAGTTTCTTTTAAAAGGTAAGGGAGAAGGGCAATAAGAAAGGAAAGATTTATATGGAAGGAAGGGAAAAAATGGAAAAAGAAAAACTTTCAGAAGAAATACATATTCATGAAATAAAAGGCATTAAAGGCTCATTTCTACAATAAGACACTCTCAACAACACTTTTCTTTTTTTTTCCAAGACAGGGTTTCTCCATAGCTTTTTGGTTCCTATCCTGGAACTAGCTCTTGTAGACCAGGCTGGTCTCGAACTCACAGAGATCCGCCTGCCTCTGCCTCACGAGTGCTGGGATTAAAGGCGTGTGCCACCACCGCCCGGCTTTCAACAACATTTTTCAAACCAAACATCTCATTAGATATTTATAGAACAACTATAAATACAGTACTTATATATGAAACCCAAAAATAAAAATTAGATTAAAAATGGCATCAATACTAATTTCTTAATAAATCCATTTATATATGTCCTTTACAGTCATCAAAAATAGTCATTGCCTAACAATATCACAAATTTTATATCTCAAATAAAAATGAGTAAGACACGTTCCTGTGAAAGAATCTTGGCTTTTAGCCAGGAGACCTAAGTATATCTACAAATAGAATTGGATACTTTAAACCAAAATAAGAGACAGTAGGGGTTTCTTTTTTCTTGCTCACAATTCATCCCCCACAGAGAAACATCTACACAGAAATTTAAGCTCTCTACTAATTATTTTTGTTTGGTTTTTCAAGATAGGGTCTCACTAAGTAGTCTTTGCCTTCCTGGAACTCACTCTGTAGACCAGACTGTCCTTGAACTCACATAGATCCACCTACCTCTGCCTCCTTATTTTCTATATTTCTATTATATTTCTTTGCAGTCTTTGGCCTTATTAATTACTGACTAATAATGGACAATTTAGTGAAAACAGAAACTCTTCTGCTTTATAAAGAAAAACTTAACAAATATCCAATGCCTGAAACACTAAGAAATAATTATGGCAATGAATGTAGACTCGTGATGGAAGCATTAACATTGGTCCAAAGTCAGAAGTGCAGGGTCCACTACTTACTAAATCAAGCATTTTGCTTTGTTGTTGTTTTTGTTAGTTTGTTTGCAGTGTTGATTTTGATATGTGGACTCACTAAATAACTCTTAGGTGTAGATCAGGCTGTACTAGAACTCACAAACATCCGCCTGCCTCTGTCTCTTAAATGCTGGGATTAAAGGTACTGTAGCAGCAGCACACCACACTTATCTATGACCTTTCTACTCTCTTTCAAATATGAGGAAAATAAAGAAAGATAGTGTGAAAGAATGTGTAAAGTATGTAGACAATCTAAAGAGGGGCACAGTGGAGCAGGCAGCAAAGAAGAAAGGAGGAGCAGAAAGGGCTTTAGGGAACTAAGTCTAGTTCTTCTCTTCAGCCTCAAACCCAGCATCTGATTCCAGCCTTATCTCATCCCACTCTTCAAATACACTTCTATGTTTATATGCCCTTCCACTCCAGGAATATCTAGTTAAAAACTAGGAGACCACCTTCCCTGGAAAAGGTGCCCATTTATAAGCTCCCACTGTACCTTTATATTTCTACTACATTTAATGTGTGTTTGATATATATATATATATATATATGCTGGTATGTACGCATATATACTATAAGTAGTCAAAGAAAAAATTATACTCGTTCCAATTCCAAAACAGACAGAATGCAAAATATGTTCTTAAATTTACATTTCCAAGAAATCAATATATATCAGCAAAACTTACAAAAATCATCATAAAAAGTTAAAAATTCATAATCATTAATTCTGACCCAGAACAGAATGAAAACACCACAAGACTTTATCAGACGCTAAGTACCAAATTCAGAGAGTAAAATGTCCAAGTAATCTACTGTAATTTAAAGTTACACCAGCTGTAGATGCAGCTCAGAGGTAGAGGGATGCCTAGCATAGCCAAGGCCCTGGGGCGACTCCTCATCAAACAAACAGAAACACCAAAAGCAAGTGCCAGTTTTCAAATAAAATAAATTCAAGAATAACCAAAAACATCAGATATCACTATTAAACACTCAAAATCGAATTTTGTGCATTTGGACTAACATTTAATACAAAGTATTTCTCCCTCGGGCTGACAGGTTTAAATTTAAATTCAACAATCCAAAAAGTTGTAGGCTGTCTAAAAACACCTTGCCTTCTGTGTCATACACTAAGATCTCTTGAAAAGTTCTCTTTATATTAAAACTTACAAGGCAGAGGCAGGCAGTTTTCTCTGAGTTCCGGGGCCTCCCTAGTTTACAAAGCAAGTTCCAGGTCAATCAAGCCTGCATAGTAAGACCTTGTCTCAAAAAAACAACAGAACAAAACAAAATAGGATTCATGAAAAATGGGTAACAAAGCCTCCAAATATTAGATGCAATCACTATTACACAGATTTTTCCCAACTCAAGACTACTAGTTGATTCATACAACTATCTCAACAGTAACCCTTAAGGAATCACACCTGAAGGCTGAGGCAGGAGGACGAAAGGGAATTCAAGACCAACCTTGGCTACAGGATGAGACCCAGACTGAGAGACAGACAGAAAGATGGGAAGGGAGGGAGGGAGAGAGAGAGGGAGGGAGGGAGGGAGGAAGAGAAGTGGAGGAGAAGGAGGGCGAGAGGAAGGGAGAGGAGCAAGACACAAAACTCGCACCTCTTTTGAAGCTTAGTCTTGTTTTAACATTGTATGGACTGGCAAGATAGAGAGAGACATACACTCCGGGGGTTTCCACCCACATCCCACAATATAAATGTTTCACAGCTCTTAACTAAACAAAACCTCTTTCAGTACAGGGAAAGCACCTCATGACTTTTCTCCTAACCCTATCATCCCCTCTCCTCCCGAGCAAGTCAGTCACAGAACACAAACCACACCTCTCAATTCCCTTACACCTAACACAATTTACACAATCAGCCTCCTATATCCCTCACCTATATTTCAGTCCTGTCGACCCCTCTACATCAAATGAACCTCTAAATTAAGCCTCCTCTTCCCCCAACTCCATTTCCATCAATATAACACACCCAAACCTTATTGAACATCCCACACCCAAAGCGATTCTCTTAGTAGCCCAATCTCACTTAAATGATCTCTCAGTCCCTTTGTCAACCGTCTCCCGGATCCTCACCTTCCCCGTCTCTTAGTCTTCCATCAACTGCCAAAGTTGCCACTCTCCCCAACAGAAACAGAAAAGAAAAAGAAAAAAAAAACGCACCTTAACCTCAAATCTGTCCTTCCCCACTTTCCTCCCCTCTTAATTTTCCTCTCCGTACTGGGTCACTTCGACTCAAGCTCCTACAGCCCCAAAACCCGAGTCTGGCCTCGTCCAGTACCTTTGGGTGACCGCACGCACGCACCCTGCCTTGGCCAAGCAGTTCCCCTTCAGCACACATGCACACACACACACACACACGCACACGCACACACACACACACTGGGGCGCTTACTCTGAACAGAATGTTGGCTGCCGCTGCCTCCTTCCATTCATCCTGGGCCCATTCATCTCTCAGCCCGATCCCGGACACGCCCCCCGGCCTCCTCCCTCTCAGGGTCCCAGACTGGCCGGGACCCTCACCTAACTGGAGACGCTGACCGACGGAAAGCGACTCTCTTCACTTCTCCCTCGCTGTCTCTCAAGCCTCCGCCAGCCCCCCGACCGGCTACACCGTAGACTAGACACACACACATATATATACCTCCTCCTCTAACGCCTCCTCCGACGCCGCTCACTCCCCTCCTCGGTGTCTCGAGAGCTCGTCGCCTAGTCCTGTGCGCGTGCGTGCGTCTCCCCTCGAGCCCACCGAGCCGGCGGCCGCGGCGAGGGAAAGAGCGGGCGGGGTTAGGGGGAGCAGGGTGCGAGCCCAAGCTCGCGCTCACCCCGCAGCTGACCGGGCGCACGCGTACTGAAGCCAGAGAATTCGGCTGGACCGGAGAGGGGCGGGGAAGGGAAGGGGAGGGAGGGAAGGAGGGAGGGAGGGCGAGGGGGGAGGGAAGGAGAAAGCCAACTGAGCAGCCCCAACTCCGAACCGCCCCTGGCCCAGCGAGGCGTCCAGAGGCTGGCCGGCTGGCGCATGCGCACGCCCTCCCTCCACACTCAGCGCTGCAAGGTGGATGCAGCGTCGAGGAGAGAGCCTTCTCCCTCGGGCGAAGAGAAGAAGCTCGCCGAGGAGCCACGCAAGACACCTCCTGCGTGTTCTGAAGCACTCATCCTCACCGCCACTTTCCCCCTAAAAACAAAAAAATTTAAAAAGAGGTCCACACACCACTTCCTAGCACCCGCAGGCCATTTTCAGCTCTTTGAAAACCTTAAAAATGAAGCTGCTCTATAGATAAGTGATACCCACCGGTACCTTTTCACCCGCCGCCCCTTCCTCACTTTTTCCAGGTCCCAGTTTATCTCGCGAGACCCATACCTGGCGGCTTCGGGATTGGAAGTCGAAGCACAGATTTACAAATACCTGTCTCCTGGCTATGAAGCAAGGGCAGGGGCCATGGCATATACCACCGCAGTCCCCCCGCCCCCAGGACCTTAGTGCGCGCGGGGGAGGGGGGACAACAACCAAAGCAGGGATAGGAAAAAGGAGCTAACCGATTTTTGACGGCGGCGGGTAACTGCTAGGCCTAGGCACGTGGCCTGTGCCTCACAGGCGGGACCGGTGTACCCTGGGAATTGTAGTTTTGTTCCCACCTCGAGTCCCACTCCCATCCTTAGCCAAACATAGGCCTCAGGCAGGGAGAGGGTTTGCTGACGCCATTTTGTGGGGAACAATGGCCAATGGCCCCGTGATGACGAGTGGGGGTTTAAAGGTTCAGTTAACCTCCTCTGGCCCCTCCGTCTCATAGCAACCCCTTCTGAAGCCTGGCCCCGCCCCCCTGCTACTCTGAGGAGCTTGGACTGCCAGCAAGGGAAAAAGCTACTTTTTCCCCCAGAGGCTGACTCTGTCTCCCATTATCCACCTCCCTGAAAAATTCCCAGTTCCTCGAATTTGTGAGTCTTCTTGAAGCTTTCATGGCATGGTAGCCTGAGCTCAGTGGCTTTAAGAAGTGCTCCACATACTGAATGAGGCACAGTGAGGAACTGTTTCTGTACGGCATAACAAGCCTGCCCTGACAAAGGAGGAAACTGAGGCTCAAGGAGGAGACAACAGAAATGACTCACTGAAGGGTAGCCAAACAAACACCAAGCAACAGTTTCAAAGATTACCAAGTTATTTCAAGTCTTAATCTGTCCTTACTCTCATGAGACAGTAACTAAAACTGTGGCCACCTTTTTACTTCTCCATGTTGACTAGTCAGTCCTAAGACTGCCACACAGGTACCTTCAAAAACCAGGCTCAGGGGGCTGGAGAGATGGCTCAGTGGTTAAGAGCATTGCCTGCTCTTCCAAAGGTCCTGAGTTCAATTCCCAGCAACCACATGGTGGCTCACAACCATCTGTAAAGACGTCTGGCGCCCTCAACTGGCCTTCAGGCATACAGACAGAATATTGTATACATAATAAATAAATAAATATTAAAAAAAAAAAAAAACCAGGCTCACTTGAGGCCTTTCTCTGTTCCCTGAGCGTGATGATACAATCAACACAGAGCAATGCTTAGGAATGCTAACCGTTCAACCTGCTCTGATGCAAACTCTTCCAGGTAGTCTATCTTAGACTCCTTGCTCAGCAATTACTAAGCACTGTGACACACAAACACATACAGCTTTAGGAATTTAAAAATCAGATGACGTTGTTCCCATCCAACTACAGATTCCTTTCAATGTAGAAATACTTTTTTAAAGTTTTTAAATATTTTCATTCAATCATTCAATACTTTTTTTTTTTCAAGACAGGGTTTTTCTGTAGCTTTGGAGCCTGTTCTGAAACTAGCTCTTGTAGACCAGGCTAGCCTTGAACTCACAGAGATCCACCTGCCTCGGCTTCCTGAGTGCTGGGATTAAAGGCCTGTGCCATCATAGCCTGGCTTATTCAATGCTTTTTTTTTACAAGTAACTTTGAAGAATTTTTATACGCATATGAATGTTTTACGTGCCTGTATGTATGTGCACCACATGTGTGCCTGATGCCCACAGAAGTCAGAAGAGGATATTGGATTGCCTGAAACAGGAGTTAAAAATAGTTGTAAACTGCCATGTGGGTACTGGGAATGAAACCCAGGTCCTCTGCAAGAGCAGCAAGTGCTCTTAACTGCCAAGCCTTCTCTCCAGCCCCTTGCAGACCTACTATTGGTATATGTAAGTCCAGCACTAAGCACAAATGTCATTGCAGGCAGAAATGACAGTAAGTAGTTACAGCTGGTCACCAATATGTTGGAAAACATTCCCTTTCTGCCCATTGGTTTCCACTATCAAGTGGTAACTGTGATATTCCCATTCAGCTAACATAAAATTTGAATAATTATTAATCACTTCTAATTTGACTTTATATTATCCCATAAAAACATCCAATGACCCAGTTATTTTTGGAAGCATTACTGCCAAGAAACCACAAAAATTTTCACTTGAACTATTTTTAGTGTTCCTCCACGACCACGACCAGGAGAATGTTTGAAACAAGCTCTTGTGTGTACTCAGGCTGACCTTGAGCTCACTACATAGCCAAGAATGACCTTGAATTACTGAACCTGGTGCTGGGACACCAAGGTATACCACCAAGTGCACCTGGGATCAGTTTTAGAGGTCAGCGTCCCAAGGCAAATTCCTGTATTATTTGTTTGCCTGTCTTGCCACCTCCTCCCTTGAGATATCACAAAACAAACTATGGGAGAGGTAGAAAAAAATATAGGAAAAAACTACTCATATCTCAAAATAATGTTGAGCCACACATATTTTCTATTAAATGTTAGTATCCTGATAAAAGACATGAAATGCATTTCTTATCCAGTCACTCACTAGTTAAGACAGTAACTCTAAACCAGGCAGTGGTGGCGCATGCCTTTAATCCCATCACTCGGGAGGCAGAGGCAGACAGATCTCTGTGGATTCAAGGCCAGCCTGGTCTACAGAGCTCCAAACAGGCTCCAAAGCTACAGAGAAACCCTGTCTCGAAAAACTAACTAATTAAATAAATAAATAATATTTTTTTCTCGAAGCAAGCCTAAAACTTTGGAGGATTATCACTCCAATCATCTAGGGACAATTAATGTTCACCTCCCTCCAAGCACAAGTGAGCAGGTCCTTTGGGCTTAGTGACTTGCTTAAAAACATGCAGCCTTTAATCCCAGCACTCGGGAGGCAGAGGCAGGCAGATCTCTATGAATTCGAGACCAGACTGGTCTACAGAGCTAGTTTTAGGACAGGTACCAAAGCCACAGAGAAACCCTGTCTCAAAAAAAAAGAGTGCAACAGTGCAGTTTCTGTAATCTTGTATATTAACTGTTCTTCTCTCCAAAGACAGTGTTTCAGCCATGCAGTGGGGGCATATGCCATTAATCCCCAAACAGCAACAACAAAAAAGATACATTGTTTCCAGGTGTGCCCGGGGCATCTGTCAGAGCACGGTTTGGGCGCCTGACACTTCTGTTTGTTTTGTTTTGATTTTGTTTCTTCGAGACAGGCTTTCTCTGTAACAGTCCTAGCTGTCCTGGAACTAGCTCTACGTAGACCAGGCCGGCCTCGAATTCACAGAGAGCCGCCTTTCTCTGCCTCCTGAGTGCTGGGATTAAAGGCGTGCGCCACCACTGCCTGGCGGCACCTGACTTTTAAAAACTATAAAAATGGCCAGTCGGTGGTGGCGCACGCCTTTAATTCCAGCACTCGGGAGGCAGAGAAAGGCGGCTCTCTGTGAATTCGAGGCCGGCCTGGTCTACGTAGAGCTACTTCCAGGCAGGTTCCAAAGCAGCAGAGAAACCCTTTCTTAAAAAAAAAAAAAAAAAAAAAAAAAAGGAGGAAGAGGAGGAGGAAGGAGGAGGAAAGAAAACTATAAAAATTAATAAACCCACATTGCTTTTCTGTAACTGTGAAGTGTCACGAGCCTAAACGCCTCTGAGAAATATTTATGGAGCAGAGATCTTGAGCCTGAAATACAGTTTCTAAAACAACTAACCATTCCTTTCAAAAGATCAGGCCCTGGCGCCCATTCCCATCCACTGCACCACACAAGCAAGGCATTCTTGGGAAAAAATATTTTGCGCTGCAGATTTAAATCATTGTCTACTCACTTAGGTGTATAATAACAGTTAGCAATTAAATAGCATTAAATATGAATCCACTGAATAGAAGCATCAATCTAAACACCATTTTTTTAAATTTGTAAACCAAGTCATAAAGAGGTTTACAAGGTTACACAATAACTCAGCAAATAAGTAGGAGAACTAAAATTTGAACCCAGCTACTTTAGTCCATGCTTTTAGCATTTTTGTTGCTTTTGAGGGGAGGGCTAGGTGAGACAGAGTTTCATGTAGCCCAGGCTGGTTCTTTTTTTGTGTTTTTGTTTTTTCGAGACAGGGTTTCTCTGTGGTTTTGGAGCCTGTCCTGGAACTAGCTCTTGTAGACCAGGCTGGCCTCGAACTCACAGAGATCCACCTGCCTCTGCCTCCCAAGAGCTGGGATTAAAGGCCTGCACCACCATCACTGGGCTCAGGCTAGTCCTTGAAGTCACTGTGCAGTTGAGAATAACCTTGAACTCCTAATCTCCCTGATTCCTACCTCCTAAGTGTTGGTAATGTAGACCTGGCTATCGTTTCCAAATCTCTAAAAAGCTTCCCCATTCCTTGGAGCAAGAAAATAACTCTTAATTCCTCTTTTTTTTTCTCAGCGTG